TCGAGCATTTCCCGTTTCACACCTCTTGTCCGATTTCGTTGAAAAGTCCTATCCTTTTGACTTCTTTGAAGATGATATCCCTTAATTTTTATCGAGAGTTTTCTTAGGTGACTTCGGTCATTTAAGATGTAATTAACTATGGGGACTTGCCCTTATAGGAAGCTTTTCCGAACCCAACCTAAAATAAACCCTATTTAATTTTTTGTATTAAATAAGGGAACTTGTCGGCAAATAAGACGGTTTCGCAGACCAAACGGATGTCATATATTTCTTACTTTATTTGATCAAGCCTCATCCTCAAGTCTTGTGTTTATCCCTCGGGATAGATACAAGATTTGAGGTAGAGCGCTTTTTCATTTAAACTGTGAAAAATATGAGGTCAGTTTGATTTCATATTTTTCTAAAATTATATATGTATGTAAATTTAACGTCCTTCCGAAGCGGACGACGAGACTTTACTTCCAGCGACCGACAGCTTCTTACGGACAACTTTTGAACAAATCACCTACCAAATCTTTTTTCTCCCCCTCCCCTTTTAGCTGCCGACATGTAGCAATTATTTTGTTACTATATTTATTAGTTGAAACTGTGTATAATAAATGTTGGTTTGCAATTCTATTGCTTTCTATTTTTGAGCAAGTTCTTAAAAATTTATTCTTAGTATTACTGTTGTGATTGGAAATGTATCTCAATTCATATGATTTCCCATTTTAAATAGAATGTTTTTTTGTTGATAACAAGCTATGATAGGGCATGGTTTTTTGTTTTTGTGAAAATTATAGGTTGCCTTACCATGCAGATTAGCAATTTACATAAGTTTCTCGTCGTTTACTTGTTTGTGCATCTTCTTGTAGATTGAAGCAAGAAACACAACTTTTGGATGCTTCTATCTATCTGAAAATCTCAATAATGACATGGAATATATTTTTCAATTCCCTAAGACTGACAGAGAGAGTGCTTTTAGTGAATTAGATCACGCATTGCCGGAGCCGGTTGACTCTTATTCTAGTAAGTATTGCGAATCTTATTACTTCTTAGTTATTGCTATTGTAGAATATAATTTGTTGGTTGCTAATAAATTTTCTTTAAGTTTAATATCTTCATGAGTTTAAACTGTTAGAAAGGTCAATCATATAATTTTTTAAATGCGTTGATTTTTTTTTTTCATTTTGATGAAGTTGTTTAGGCCAGTTGTAATCTAGTATAAACTTGCAAATATATGAAATTTTTATGGCCAAAAAAAGTATTTTGTGGAACTTTATGATCATTTTAAACTTGCCAGACTGCAGAGCTAACTGTCCTATATATGAAGTGGTGGGATTCTGGGTTCAATCAAAGTTACTTCTATGCTTTTCGGATTTGTTATAAGAGGATATTATTCTTGTAAATCAGTTCGATTTCAAGATATGTTTTAGTTTTTTTTTTACTTCTGTCCGTTGATATTGGAAGTGCCATCATTTTCACTCGTATTTTCAGGTGGGGGATCTCTAGATTTATACAATGACCCTGAATTCTGCTGGCACTTTGGGATTCATGAAGGAGATAAAGGTCAATGCACCAGTCCTGAGGTTTTCACGAGCTTTCTAGGGCTTCTTGATTCTGTCTCGTATAATGACGCTAAATCCAACCACACAAAGTCGTTTGGTCAAAGAATACCTGATCCAAGGTCTGGCTTTTACACTTAAAGTTTCCATTTTCAGCTATAATGCTGATTGTTTAGATATTAACGCATTGATTAATGAAATAATGCTTCTTATAGTAGATATGTATCTTAGCAATGCTCTATTTTCGTTTCAAAGGTTATAAAATCCGTCATTGTAACATCTATTCTTTTGCATCCTATTCATGCAATTTAAAAGTTATGTTTTGTGCCATTTTTATACGTAATAAGACATTCTAAACTTTTATACATATTTTAACTAGGTACAAACTGAAGAGACAGTTTGACCGAGGTTCATATGGTGAAGTTTGGTTGGCATTTCGTTGGAATTGTTCTAATGAACATGACACATCCTATCCTTTATTTAGTGGTCAAACGTATTCTTTGGGTAGCCCAAGGCTTACTGCACATTTGTACGATGTAAGCCCATCCAATGAATCCTGCAGTAGTAACTTGAGTGATGGAGATTCATTCATTTTGAAACGTATAATGGTAAGCAATTGGTTATTGGTGCTCCTTGGGCTTAAGCAAATCATTGTTCTGATTATCCTAAACTTTATTTTTTTGTATTCTTATTTCAAAATTTCTGTGTGGAATGGTCCTTTTGCGTGAAAATGTTACACCTGCATTTTCAGGGTAGATGGCTTCCCTTTTTGAGTTCCTTGCAGCAAGAATCTTACTCCTATCAGTAAACTCCAGTTATGCCTTCTCAATCTTTTCCGGCTGTCTTAATTTTCTTGACATGGTTGCCATTGTCTTTTACTTCATGATATGTTTGTTATCGTCTTTTGCTTTGAATATAACTTTATTGATTAGGGATGCATCCTCTTAACATATAGATCAAGAGAGTCCATCACTAACATGCAGTTTATTTTGGCTAATTTATATAAAAATAGTCGACACGCAATCTGCTGATAGTATCATGGTTTAAGGTCCTTGTCCCATCTTTTGACTAGAAAAGTGAGCAATGTGTAAATCTACAATTGTGATTCCTCCTTACCATGTAAAAGCCATGTTCTTATTAACTTCTTGTATTAGTGTGCTTGTTCAATTTCCTCCTCAATTTTGACAAAGCATTTTTAGAGTTTAATTCCAACCTTCCTACCTCGATTTCTTGACTTTGAGCTTATTGTAGTATGATCGCTTAGAAAAAGCCAACCCTCCTTTGAGTCTCCTTGATGTAGTGAGAACTCAAGCCAAGTTGTTTTAATCAATCTTGATTTTGTCACCTTGCTCAAGGCAACATCATTTTTACAATTGAAATAACTACTCTTTCACTAGGGAAAACTGTGCCGACGACAGAAATCTGAAAAACAAAAATTGAACTCTAATGACACAAAATAACACACACACATATATTTGTGTGTGTGTGTGTGTGTGTGTGTAGATCATTGTTAGCAATCACTGAAGCGCTTGAAGCCGAAGCAGAAGATGCGGGTGCGGGAGAGGGTACACCACAGCAGTCCGTGAACGACGCCGAACATGAACAAAAAGCTTCACACGAGAATCGTCCGCGAATGACACCTCCGCTACCCCCTCTCGTACGTAGCCCGCTCGTTGCTCTCGGTAACGCGAGGAAGCCGAAGCAGAAGATGCGAATGCGGGTGCGGGAGAGGACACACCACAACAGTCTGTGAATGACGCCAAACAGGAACACACGATGTTAACTTTTTTCGACGCTCTCAGCAGGATACGCCGACTGCTTTGTCCTTTTGTCCCGACGCTCAACACTCTCAACAGGAGATGCCGAGTTTCAGGCTCTCAGTAGGAGAGCGACTACTACGGGATTTCGGGATTCAAGACGCAGATAACAACGGGATCTGCTATGGCCTCGACGATGCGTTCTTATGCTAATGCAGTTGCTGACGACTTTCCTATTCCTACCCATCCTCCTCTTTCAGGTTCAGAGTCTGGTTTTCATATTGGCTAGTCCCGCAATATTCCTCAATCTTTTCACGACACTCTTGAAGGTTGTGGTGATCACACTTTCATTAAAAAACTTGACAAAGAAAATGAGAAGCCTGCTCTTATTCTCACTGAGGTTGAAACCAATACTCTTGCGTTCTCTTGACGTTTTGCTCTAGTGGGGAAATTTCTTTATGGTCACCCAAAACTGGAGATCATTAGGAAAAAGTTTGATGCTATGAAACTATTCTATTGGGCAGTTGAAATATGCAGTTGAAATATTGGTCTACTTGATGGTCGACATATACTGATTCAGTTATCTCGCGATGTCGATTACACTCGCATTTTCTCTCGAAAACTTATCAAGATCGGCAATCGTTTTATGAAAATTCTGAAGTGGACTGTAGATTTTGATCCAAAAGCGGAGTCCTCTATCATTCCTGTTTGGATAAAGTTTACAGGGTTAAAATTACGTCTGTTCAACATGGAAATTCTTTACTCTTTAGCAACTGCTTACGGTAAGCCTCTCAAGGTTGATGGTCCTACGCTTGCTGTCACCAGACCCTTTTTGGCTTGTGTGTTAATTGAGAGGGATATCACTCAACTAGCTCCGGAGGAGGTTTGGATTGACACTACTTACAATGGGTATTGACAAAAGGTTGAAATATAACCACATTCTTTTTATTGCTCTCATTGCAGTATGTTTGATCACAATTCTACTATTTGCTATCGCTTGCATCCTCATCTAAGGCCGAATATCGCTAAATATCAGTCACCTACCTTCCCTGCGGAGAAGGTGCAACCCGATCCTCTTTCTAACACCGCAGTTCCAGATGAAGAACACCATACCCATACTACACCATACTACAGGTACATAGCCAAATGTGCTGATATCACTCACTATTATTGAAGAAAGCCCACTTACATGCCAAGACACACGAGAGTTCTCCTTAGATCCGATAAAAGATCAGCTGATACAACAAGTAGTTGCTTCTAATATTCAACAACCTACACATGTCCGACACACTTTAGACCATTCCATTGATCAGGTGAGCCAATCTTCGGATGAGGAATGACAGCTCTATTCCAGGAGGAAGAAGAAGAACAGAGGTCGACTCGAGCTCGGGAATTTATTGAATTATACATTGATTACTATTAGCAATGACACTCATCTTACCAATTTATTAGCCGGCTCCTTCCCTAGAACTAGAAGCAGAGGAAAGATAAAATTGTGTCGCTCTCTAGCTACCTGATACTCCGTATTTTGACACTTTTTAATTTTTTTTCTTTAGGTCTCTCATGTATTTTGTTGTATTTTCTTTTTTTAGAACCATTTGATGTGGTGGTTATTGTGTGGGCAGAGTGTCATGTTTGGGCCCTCCACACATTCTATTTGTATCCTACTTTCTATTTAATATATTAGCCTTTGGGCTTTATTAAAAAATAAAAATAATATATGTATATGTATATGTATATATATATATATATATACACACATACATACATATATATGCAACATCTCTTCATTCACCTGCAGACTGATCCAAACTCTTCTATCCATGCAGCTACTCACCCAAAACTGGTTCACAATCCTGCTTGAGAAGAAAACCACCCCTTTTTCTACTTCTTTAGTTTATTTTTGTAATTTTGATATATTGTTCTCTATTCATTAAAATAGTTTCAGGTTTTTTTCAGGAAGCTAAAATGTGCAATAATCTAAATAGTTGTTTTTGGATTGTATATATATATATTCTTTTTTTTTCTTTTTTTTTTTGTGGGAAAGAGCAGCGGTAGCTCCCTAGGCTTTAATATTTAAAAAGAAGGTACAAGGATAGGGAGGGGGAGAGGATCCCCTTCTAGAAAACACAAAAAAAATACAATTAACTCACCCTTAGGGGTCCTCTCCCCGCAGTACAACTCACCCAAAAAAGAATCTCCAAAATACAGGTATACCCAAAAATCAAAAAAGTTAAAAAAGAGTAATCCTATGTACTTGTATATCTTGGAAGTATCTTGAAAAGAGAAAAACAAAGAAAATCATGCAGAAGAGCTATTATGGGTGTAACAAATATCTCCAAAAAGACCGCGAGCAGGGACTCCAGCACAGCTCGTGACTCCAGAAAAAGAGATCATCCTGTAACAAGTGATAAAAACGGCCAAACCAAACAAAATAGAAGGGAACCGCAAGAAAAAAGACAGTAATGCCTAGCCAAACCGAATAGAGCTTCATTTGATGGCCAAAAAAGCATAAGAAACTTAATACCGAACATAAGAAAGATTTAAAGTATCCCCAATGATGAGTCTTCTAAGAGGGTCAGTGGGGTGTATGCCAACGTGACAGATCTCTCCTGCATGCTTGGCAAACCAATCGACAGGGGAATTGCCCTCTATATGCATAAACTTCCAATTAACCTCAAGATGTTTATCAGCTATAAGAGCTAGTATTCTTTTAAAAGTACCAATAAAATCCTAGAGTGGAGAAGAGGTACCAACCAAAATATCATAAAACATTTTAGAGTCCATCTCCACCTATAATTTATGAAAATTGAAAATGTTAGCCACCACTAAAGCCAAATAAACTCTCCAACATTCTACATCCAATTGAGTTTCAACAATTACTGGGGAAGCGAAATAACAAAGACATCTCCCCTTAGAATTTCTAAATAAGCCCCCAACTACAGCATAGTCAGGATGCCAACAATCATCAACATTTAATTTCACATAATTAGCATGCGGGGGAGTCCATGTAATAAGCCGAGGGGGCTTAGAAACTTTAATCACAGAAGAACTAGCTCGTAAAACTTTATTGTAAAAGGCAATCACATAAGCAACAATCAAAGAAGTAGAAGGGGGAGAGGTGTGATGCTTAAAGATGTTTCTGGAGTTCCAAAGGAACCAAAGAACCAATAAAGGGAGGGGAAACCTCTCCTGACAGGCATCATAATCCTTCCATTGCCACAAATAACTAATTAAAGAACCTCTATGTATCCAAGAGAAACCAAAATAAGAGTCAATCATATCCCAAACATCTAAAGAGAAAGCTCACTCAAATAAAATGTGCTTTATATCCTCCTTCATTTTACACATATGACATCTTGAGGCTAATTTCAAGCCCTTAAGCTTATGAATATCATCATTTGGGATTAAGGACTTAAGATATCTCCAAAGAAAAAAAGGATATAGAGGGAGATAAATATTTATGCCAAATCCATTTTTCCCATATCCAATCCCGATATGAGTGTAGAGTGCTATAAATGAATTTGCAAACCGAGAGAGAATTGCTTCTTTTCCACATGGGGAGATCCCTATGAGTAGGAGTAATGAGGATAGTGAAAATATGCTTTGCATTGCGTTCCCCAACCATAGAACATAACTTAGAGTAATCCCAACCATCATTAGCAAAAAAATCCGAGACCAATAAAGAGTTAGAATGAAGAGAGTGAGATAAATCAGAGTTATGTGAAAAATCCCAATTATCATTCTAGAAGGAAATCTTCCCCTCCCCATGTCCCAAAAGATGAAACCATTTGTTGTATCTCTAGCATTTACCACAGCCTTCCAAATACGAGAATCTCCAACCTTCCACGAGACCAAGGAATGATGAATATGAGCACAATACTTTTCCTTCAGAAACATGGCCCAAAGAGAGGAACCCAATCTAAAATTATACCAAAGTTTACAAAGGTTCACTTCAACAATATGTTTTAGCGCTTTAAAACCGAAGCCACCAGCCTCTTTAGGCTTACAAACTTTATGCCAAGTACTCCAAATTTTCTTTGCACCATTCCCCACCAAAAAAAAATTTATTAAAGAGCTTCTCCATAGTACAAATAACACTTTTCTTGGGATTGAACACTTGCAAAGCATATAATGAAATACTTTGAAAAACACTAGTAAGTAAAGAGTCCTGCCCCTAGTTGAAAGGAAAACATTTCGCCAATCATATACTTTACGTTTGATTTTATCAATCACATCATCCATATGTATCTGTTTTCTCCTTCCCCGTATCAAATTCACCCAAAGATATTTAAGGGGAAGAGAGGCATGATGAAAGCCTGTAAAAATAACTCCCCAATGAGTAATATGTTGTTTAACCTGCTTGCCAAAAAACATCTGACATTTGTCACTATTAAAACGAAGACCAGAGCAATTTTGGAAATCTTGCAGAAGCCCCATCACTTGTTTTATGACAGGTTTAGAAGCATTAGTAAAAATAATAACGTCATCAGCATAAGCAAGGTTGGAGACCGTCATTTTGGCTTTGTGGGAAAACTGAGCATGAGGATGTGAGAATTGGAAACTGTTAAGCATCCTAGAAAAATAATCAAAAGCTAAAATGAAAGTAATAGGAGAAAGAGAGTCTCCCTGTTTGATGACCCGAGAAGCAGTGAAAAAACCATAAGAGTTTCCATTAACTAAGACTGAATAATAATTGTTGGCAAACCATCTTTTAATCAAAGAGCAAAAACTTGTATTGAAACCTCTAGCTTTTAGAACGTTGATGATGAAATCCCAATTTAAGGTATAAAAGACTTTTTTGATATTAAGTTTGATAACCAAATTGCCACCTCTACAGTTTTGTATCAAGATCATGTAAAATTTCCTGTGCCAATAGAATATTATCAGAAATGTCACGACTTTTAATGAATGCTGATTGTTGAGGAGAAATAAGAGAAGGAAGGAGAGTTTGGAGACAGGCCACAATCACTTTGCTGATAATTTTAGAGACAACCGAGGTTAGTGATATGGGCCTAAAATCCTTCCAGTGTGATTTTATATTAGACTTAGAGATGAGGACAAACAAAACAACAGAGAAATACTTTGTAGGGTCAACTCCCTGGAAAAAGCTTTGAATAGCCAACACTACATCATTCTTAATAATGCTCCAACATGAAATATAAAAAGTGGAGGTGAAACCATCGGGGCCAAGAGCCTTCTGTGAGCTAATATCTTTAAGGGCATTGAAAATTTTCAACTCAGTGGGGGGGTCAGACAAAGAGAGATTGGAAATCATCTCTCTGGTCCTCAAAAAAATCAGAAATAATATCAGTGACAGGTGAAGTATCAACTTAAATAGAAGAAAAATAATCAACTGCATTAGAACCAATCTGATCAATATCAGTGAGAACAGAGGATCACTCAGTGACAATCTTGATGATGATATTTATGTTACGGCGATGTTTGATTGATGATGGTATTTATATTTATGTTACGGCGATGTTTGATAGTAGCAAAAAAAATATTTGGTGGCTGTCACCATTCTTGAAATGATTATCTCAAGCTTTCTGTCTAAAGAAATCCTCCTCAATAGAAATTTCCTTTAGAAGAGTGTGATGAGCATCCGCTAGTTTAGACACGAGATCGGGAGTAGCAATCACCTGAGCTTCTAAAGAAAAGAATCCATGTTGGGCCTCCTGTTAGGCCTTTAGAA